AAATCTAGAATGTCAATTTATTCTACGAATTAGTATGCCATTCGATTAGCTTCAGTAACAGTCTATTCTGAAAAATTATCCACTGTAATCTCAAACTATTTCTTCAAGATGTAGTTAGTATATCTTAGGAAATCTGAAACTGCCGCATGTTGTTTTAACATAGCTGTCTCCTAATCCCTTTATTCGTTTAAAAATGGCGAATGATATCTAATGCGAAAGTCAAATGATATATAATGCCTCATTCTTGAAGCATGTGAAGTTTATAATTGCAAATGCATAAAACAACCACGGGAAGTAGATTTTTAAATTTTGAGAGTTCTGTTTGTTAGAGTATATTCTACAGAAAATATATATGCTACTTTTATTTATTTATATTTCAAATGCAGGCTTATGGGTGAAAGTCTTAGGCAGAAGCAAAAATGAGATGCAGTACAAATTGCAAATACAAAATACTGGTCAGTCGTTTTTCCTACAAGTTACGAGGAATGAAAAGTTAATACCAGACAATGCCATGCACAGTAGACATGCGGAGGGCGTTTCCTACAGATAGGGCACGGCGAAACGTAATCAAATGAAAAACAAATGTACCTTATCTATAGAATGGCCCGGTAGCATATTTCACAAGTGCACATCAGCGTAGCCACTGAGAGAGGGGTTTCCAAAATGGAGCAATGAGCTTCTATTGCTCTTGTGACGCTGAATTTTCGTGCATGTGAGCGTATGTTGTTTTCCTTTTAATTTGAATTGGTTTCGCAGTTATAATTGTATTGCGTAATAGTAGAAAATCTCGTTGTGCTTTCGTTTTATGAGTTTAATTAATCGCTGACATTTCACTTTCGCGATTTTTATCACTCATTGATATTTGGATTTATGTTCACGGCATATTATCGCTCTTTACATCGAGAAAATTACTCAGGCTCCAATTAGCCCGAATATATACATTTACTACAAATGTGAATTAAGAGAATTCATGTGTATAGTTTTTTTTTTTTAATTTAATTTTTATTTTTTATTGAACTGAGAAGAACTGGAAGTGTTACAATGAATCTAGTGTTTTCTTATTTCAGTGCTTGCATTCTTTTGATTTTGAAAGTGTAAGATTCAGAATACATATTGTGTATGATCTGATTACGTCCATTGTTAACATTAAAAGTTACATGAGAATTAATTGAATATAATCGTTGTGAATAGATAAATTCATTCTGTATATTTAAGAGTGAGCAGTTATTAAATGTGAAATTTAACATACTAAATGCAAATTAGTGAAGTGAATGAATGAATAAAACTCTGAATAAAAATTATGCATTGGCTAGTATAGTAGAACATCGTTTTCATATAGATTGCAATAAAGTGCTGACTTCTATTTACATATATAACTGGTGTAAATATTTTTCTTATATGCATAGTTTTATGTAAAGATGGCATTTGGGCTCAGATGTGTATCACATATTTATTTCGTCTTATTTATCACTTATTAAGTAATATTTCGCATGAATATTTTTGCTGAGTATCCAACATGTGTTTGTATTTATTTCAAATTCTTTCAACCGGGTAGTGAAATCTTTCCAATTGCTTATATTTGATCTAACTTTGTAATGAAAATTTTCAGAAGAAATAGACGATGTACAGAAATTTGTGCAGAAAATTGCGTGGCAAAATATTTTCAAACATCTTGCTTAAATCTTAAAGCGTGGGAGAAAGGTCATATGACATGACAGAAATATTACTGGATGCTCATTGGTCCACCCTAGAGGCCACTCCTTCGGTGGCTACACAGATGTGCACTTGTGAAATATGCAGCCCGGTAGTTGGTAAAATGAAAGAATTTTCTGGCATGCAATGGAATGTATAAATCGGTGTTGACTTTGTTAGATCCAGTTCTTAGATGTATTTTCCTTTCTCTGCAGGAATGTCCGCAGTCTCATAACCAAACGATGATAAATAATATGCAGAAATGCAATTTTCCTGTGATACTTGAAGAAGTGACTTGAGAAAATTCGGTATTCCACAACTTCTTGATTAATTGCTGGCCTGTGCTGATTCGTAGTACCCAGTTTAGCTGTTCCAGAGCTAGAGAGGATCTCACTTTTTGTTGAGGATTCTTCAAGTAGAAGTCATGAAGCAAAATTTAAAGCTTTTAATTTTCTGTCAAAAGCAGTTTTGAATTGACCAAGGGTTAGGTAATAGGAGAAGGTTCGCAGAAAATTCCAGTTCTATATTTTTCAGTGCTGTAAGTATAAAAGCTTATTATTTCCATAAGCATGTAACCAAAACTGTAGAGAGTATTTGCTTCTAATGATATTCGTTATCATAAAATAAGAGTATCAGGACAGGTATCACATTTAGAAACTGCCTAAAGAATACCGAGAGAAAAAATAGGATACCTGATTTTAATAAGATTTGGAGGGAGATGCAGAGTGTTTAGAGAAAAATTTATTGTATATATATATCCTTTCTGTGTCGTTTTTCAGTAACATGCTTTTCTCCAAAATCGGCAAAAAAAAAAAAAATTTGATAAGTGTCTCATAAATTCTTAAAATGACAAGACAGATTTATTTCATGGTGCATTCTTTGCCAGTGCAGGGAAAAGAGCATCCGTTGAAATAGTTCGAGTAGAAGCTGTGAATGATACTTAAAACCAATTTATATATATATATATATATATATATATACTGAGCATTTGCTATAGTTATATAGAGGCCATAACAAGCTTAGTAAAAGTCTTATAAATGGTGATTAGCGAGATCCCTCACAACCTCATCTGGCATCAGCCGGTCTTTTTAAGTTAGATCAACATTTATACTCTAGATCTTCAATATGAGATCTCCAGATTGCGTGGTAATCGAAAGTAACCTATATAGGTACCTGCAGTTTTGACAAAGTAGTCTTTAACAATTAAATTTTTATAGACCTAATATCAGAAATAGAATTTTACAGTCAATGAAAACTGAATAGTGAAAAGCACCTGACCATCTGATTCTATGTTTAGATTAAAATATATTCGAGTTAATAGGCTGAATAAATGATAAATGAACATCATATGACATTGGACTTAAGTAATGAATGTTTAATGTGACCTTAATGATAACGTCTTCGTGTTTTCCCCATTTTTAAGTGTATGTGTGTAATTTGAATTCAACATGGACAAATTCTATGAGAGAGTGAGATAAGGGGTGCATTTTTTTAAAATGCCCTTTGAGTCCCCTTATGCGTGTGTGTGTGAATTACAGGGCAGGGAATAAAGTATCTGTCAGATTTTATGACGGTATTACAAGAGAATGGTATATGAGTACTCAAAAATAATATTCATCTAGCAAACGATGTGGTGCAGTTTCCTAAAACATAGTTACATCTTAAAAATTACTTTAGAAAATATATTCCTTTTCTAAATCCCTAGACTTTTTTCAGTAAGGGTACGCCATTTATAAAAGTGTATGTTGGGCCACAGAAAGTCTGCAGTCCATTACAGTTTATGCAATCATGCAGTCATGTTACGGAAATTTCACACAACACCCTGCAACCCAACAGTATGTAGCTTTTCATTTCAGCTGGATGATGTTAACTATAAACACGGGAATAAGGAGAAGTATTCTTATGTTATTCCTTAGGTTTGTATCTCCTTCCTAGCAGCTGCATACTTCTAAAAGTATGTCAAGACTAAAATATATTTTGGAAGTTAGTCGTTCCAAGACGTCTACAGTTCATTTTGGACTGTAGCCAAATCTAAAGTATATTCTAGACCATCGAATGTATCCAGGAGCGTAAGTAATACATTATGTGTGAAAGTCACTTGATCGAATTGAGGATAAAAATCAATCATTGAACATTTTATTGTTTACAGTTCACCAAATTATGGAAGGCGTTATTATCTCTTAAAATTTGTTCTTTTACTTTATAAATGTTTACAGCTTTGAATTCCATTTCTTTTTCGTACCGTGAAGTATTCCATTTTTACTGGTATTTCTTTGTTTATGAGAGCCTGCGGTAGGACTTTCCCTTTTGATTCAAAATCGATATTGGTACGTGAACAGAAAATTTTTTTCTTTTAAAGCTCACTTTGTCAGGTGAAGAAAATATTTCATTTGCTTAATCTTCAGATTTTCACCCAGTTCTCGTAAATTCTTGTATTCTTTTACTGTAACTGAACATTTTTTTTAGCTTCTCAATCGAAAATTAACGAATGATTAAAGTAGGAAAAGTTAAAAATAAATTTACACTACTCATTAAAAAAAATCAGTCAGTCTCTCAGTTAAAATAATCAGTCAGTCAAATAAGTCGGTGCAGAGTTAAGTCTAAATGAAATTGCCATGGAAATAACGTAAGACCACATCTTCTTATTCCCGTGTATATAGTTAACATCATCCAGCTGAAATGAAAAGCTACATACTCTGGGTTGTAGGTGTTACAGGAAAGTTTCGTAACATGAATGCATGACTGCATAAATTGTAATGGACTGCAGTCTTTCTGAATAAGGTGATAGCCCAACATACACTTTTATACATGGCGTACCCTTACTGAAAGAAGTCTGGGGATTTAGAAAAGGAATAAATTTTCTAAAGTAATTTTTAAGATGTGACTGTGTTCTAGGAAACTGCACCGCATCGTCTGTTAGATGAATATTATTTTTGGGTACTTGTATACCATTCTCTAGTAATTCTCTGGTAATACGATTATTGCAGCCGCCAGTCTAAGATTGAATGTGGTAAGAAAAGCAAGTGGACATTGGAATTTTTTAAATATTTAGTATCTTTAATCTGTTGCTAGTAAACTTTATGGTACTATACGGTTTCGAAGACCGTAAAAATATTTCAGCGAAAATGTATGCGCAAAAATGCCAAATCTAGCAAGCGCGCCAAATTAACAGCGCGCCAAATCTAGCATATGCGTTGATTTCAGATTGCGTAAGTTTATGTAGTTCTATATTTCTTAAGACGCCATTGAAATACTAGTTTAATTTTTAAATCCTTTTTTGATTTTAAATCCTTTTTTGATATCCTATGGATTTAACAATTTGGGAATTGCCCATGACGAAAAGTCGGCAATAGAATTTTGGGTAAAGTGCAGAATCACCGACTGCTTCACGCGTTTTCAAGAATTGCACATACTCGGTATCCATATGCAGATCTACCTATTTTCAATTAAAAAAAAAAATCCCAGAATTGCACAAAAATGGTACTGCGCACTCTCTTGACTTTGTCTATGTACACATTGACCTATTTTCACTAAAAAGTAAAAGAAAATTTACAAAAATCCAATTGTTTTTACCCTTGTAAAAAGCGGCAAACAAATAAGTGAGCGATTCTGCATTTTACCGAGAATATTTTCAAAGAAAAGACATCATTCATTGTAGAAAATTGCGTTTGAACAACCAACGAGATGAAATTATGTTCTAGCGATAAGTCGGTAGCGAAATAGCGATGCAGGTGTCCATTCAGTTATGTTTAGCAATTTTTATATAAATTATAATAATGATCTGAAATAGTTATTTACTCTTATGCTTCCATTCAGTCGTGTTTAACCTTTTTCATATAAATTATAATAATAAAAAAGTATTATATTAAATTAAACTTTCATCTAAATTAAAACATCAATCTTAGATAGTTATTTACTATTATACTTCCTTTCTTGCCACAATTATTAGGGTTGCCGCACTTATTTTTGGCAGCATTGGCGTCAACAATAGTTTGGCGATTTTTTACAGCCCTCGAAACCGAATAGTACCAACTTTATTTCTAATATTTTATCCCAAGACTAAATGCATTATTCTGCACAAAGTTTGCTGTGTATGCCTGTACAGTCAAAAGTCGTTAATTTGGACACCCATAATCCGGACCTCAAAGCTAAAAGCTTTCTGCGCATGCGATGCGTTGGCACATGCGCACAGGCGTTTTACGCATGCGCATAAGACCTTGAGTACTGCGCATATGCGTGTGCGCAAGTGCAGAATACGTTTTCGCCTGCGCGTTTAATGTATAACGGACGGTGTAAGCTAAAATTATCTAATTATATATTTTAGTTAATGTTAATAATTGCATTGTTCCTTAAACTTCGAATTGGATCCTGCTTATTATTTTTTGCAGACTGTAAGAGCAATTTTATAAAAGTAAACTTGAACTTTCGATTATGTCAAATAGAATTTCCGATGCTGGAACTTCCAAAGGATCTACAAAACGATCTACAAAAAGTATGTTTCGATGTCCAACAAACAAAAAGTGGAATTGCTGCAAAAAATGGATAAAGACATGAAGAATGTGACAGAGAGGTTAGTGAAAATGAAAAAATTTCGATTGGCAAGTTAGTCGCTATTCTCGGCACAGCAATTAACGGGACTTGAACAGCGGAACTTTGTAACTGAACAAGAAATTATGTCTGTTTATAGAATTAAAGAGAAAGTATTATCACATAAACGAAGCAATTTAAACAACTTACATTGAAAGAAATGTTTAATAAAGTAAACAAATAAATATTAAGTTTTTTTGTTTGTTTGTTTGTTTGTTTGTAAATTTTGATACCCTTTAGATCATAATTGCTCAATATTTTATAAATTACGGTTTCATATTTTTAATTTTAGAATTTCTGCATGCCATCTTACCAGATTTAAACTGATGATCTATAATCCGGAAAAATCGATAATCCGGAATCGCCGAAGTCCCGACGAGTCCGGATTAACGACTTTTGACTGTACTATATATATTATTATATATATTACCTGGGTTATATATATTAAGTGTGTGTATGAGGGCGTGTTGTACACTTTTTATCTAATCGGGAATGCTTGGAAGGTGTATGTGTACGTCTATGGCAAAATGTTTATTATCTCCATTTGGGAGAAAGAAGAAAGCACGTTTTTTAGTCATTGTCAGTTGGTGAACGTATTTATGTGTTAGGAATTTCATTTTGTGCCACTGTATAGTTGAGGAATTTGGGGACTGATTGCAGTCTTGTGTTTGTAGGGCGATGATCGGTGCCTGACGACTGAAGAATGAGCTGTATCGAGCTGCCACGACCGAGCAACCTGCTCAGTGTCAACCCCCTGTAAGTCCAATTTTCTCATTACGATGTGAGTAAATTACATTCTTTGTCATTGTCGATCAATAATCATATGCAATCGCAGTAACATATGACAGCTGATGCGGACATATAAAAACTTAATCTTCAAAAAATTCGGAAACAGTAAAATCAGCTGAAGACGAGCACGCAAGTTTATAGAGGTCTGAAGTATTCATTTATTAACAAACCGTGCATGGTTATATATTTTACGTGTATATAAAAGGTGTAGATCTGCATTTAACAGATAACAGGTCTGTTCGAACGTTTTAAAAACCGTCAGCTTATTACGAATGATGTCACTATGTACTGTTGGCTCGATGAAACGGAAATAGTAAATCTAATATTCTTAGAGATGAAAAACTCGCAATTGACCCCAAAACTGTCTACACTCAACTGGCAACTCTTAGTTGACCAATTGGCAAGTTGCGGTAAGCATACCAAATTGCGAGCGCAATAACGTTAGCAGTAAAAGTGTGAAGTTCCTCATACGGCTTAGTAAATTATACACATATTTTGCTGTGCTTAATTTAAACTGATTTCCTCGAATTTAATTAGATATGTATTTTCTCACTCAATCAATTCAGTTCTCAGTTCGCAGAAAGGAAAGGGGGGTGGAAAAAACATGCAAACTCAAAATATTTTCATTAAAAATTGTAAAATACAGAAAAACCTAAAATACCAAAGAGTTAAAAAAGCAGTTAAAAGGAAAAAAATATTTACAATTAAAACTAATTTCTACGCAAGAACAAGCAGTTCCAGTGGGCAGAAAGGCAGATTTTTCGGTGCACAGACATTTAAAGTGTAACCTATGGTCCCATTGGACAGAAAGACACTGCAGTTGGTCCACCAACTGAATTAGTTCACTATGCAAAATAGCCGCCACGTTAGGCCTAGCGACACTTTTAAATCGTTGATAATTCTAAAACTATTGCATACAGATTACCTAAAGGCATAAAAACCCAAACCTTATCGTAAGAACAACATAATTCAATCACATTTAAAGCAAAAATCCATAGTTTACCAATGTATAGGAACAAAAAAACAGAGCTCACGGAGCCGTAGCATTGTTCTAACATCACAATGTTAACAAAAGTTCTAACATAACTTTTGACACAAAAATTGGACTTTTTCTGAAATAACATACCAATTTTTTTCCATATTTTGATTCTACGATTCAAATTATGCTTAGATATTAAATTTTGTAAAATTTGATGTGACATTTACGGAGAAATTCAAAAATTAATCTTGGCAAATTTTTTTTAGTTTGCACCAAGAATAATTCACTTGGTAAACTTTTAAACATGTGGCAACCAATTTTCCTTTCCCTTTCATTATGCCAGAGCGGGATAAAATGTACCTGGTTCCTAACTTTTTACATTTTGCACGAGTGGAAAAAAAGTCTGTTTCTACTTCCAAATAATTTTAACCCTTAGCTCTCCGTTGGCTCTGCTATGAAGCTATCCATCATTTGTTCCATAACTCTCTAGGCTCTGCTGCAGAGCCTAGTGTTTTTAGCATGATGTTACGGAATCGTTGGCGTTGGCAATTGTTGTCTGTAGTTAAAATGTGCTCAGTCTCCCTACTGTTACGATTGAAACATTACTTGAAATAATTATTGTGATGAGAATATAGAGTTGAGTGATAGTAAAGATGTGTTTGATTTTTCATTGTTAGAAGATATTGTGGAAGACAATGTTGATTATAATTCTGACACTTCAAGTAGTAGTTCCGAAATTATACTACCAAAGAGACGACGAATGGTAGTTATTGAAAGTGAAAGCGAAGAGTCGCCAGAAGATTAGATGAATGGAGCGATGTCACGGAAGAATTAGATATTCCGGATAGAATACATTTTTGTGTATCGCCAAAGATCACTGGACCACAAATTCCTACAAATATTTTATAGCCGACACAATATTTCAAATTATTTTTCACAAACAAACTGGTAAATGAAATTATAAAAGAAACCAACAATTATGCAGAAGATGTTCTAAAGAATAAAGAAATAGCTAGTAATTCTATTTGGAAAAATGTGGCGTGCAGTGGAAGAGGATGAGTTTTGTACTTTTATTGGAGTTATTATCAATATGGGTACGATACCCCTGGCGAATATGCAGGATTATTGGTCAGTTAAGGAGAATAGTCACATCCCTTTCTTTGGTAAAATATTTACAAGATAGAGATTTATGCAGATATTCTGGATGCTGCAATTAAAAACACCGGATCCTGCGAAAATGTGCCGGAGTTGCTGGTAGGCAGTGGTACAAAAACGTGCGGAGCGCTAAGGGTTAACAAAGTGTCTAAACCACATTTGATATTTTATCGCTTTCAACAAATATGCCAAATTTCAAAATGGGCCAATATATGAATTCACGTATATCTTCAGAAATTTTGAATAAAAAAACTGTAATTTTTTGCAGGTATGCCTAAAAATAAGTCTACTTTAAGATGATGGTAAAATTTTTATAGATTATAATTCAAAAATGTTCTTGAAAAATTTATAAAAATTAGTTTTATTTAAAATGAACCTGAATTTCGAAATGTGAAAAGAAGAATCAAATAAGTTTAATAAAAAAGAGATATTTATAAATATATATACCAAATTTAATTAACATTGAGGAGCTAAAACTTTGAGAGCTAATTTTTTTAAACTGCTGGTGTGATTTTTACAAACCTTGGTAGTTTGGCATAATTTGAGTCGTAGAATCGAAATATGAAAAAACGTTGGTATGTTATTTCAGGAAAAGTCTGATTTCTTGTCAAAAACTTATGTTAGAACAATGCTATATATAAAAATTATGTATATTCTAAGTCACGCTTTCGAGACATTAAAAACCCGATTTGAATTTTGCCAATCGGCCCAATAGAACAGAAGATATAGAACTCTCCCCCCTTTCTTTTCGCAGTGTACATTTATGCAAATTCTTCATTATTTAATTTCTTTAAATGTAACACAGGGGAATAATATTTAGTGTCAACCATTTGAAAAGTGAACTGTCATTTATAGTGAATCAACACAGAATGCCAAAACGAAATTAATAGTCTTTCTGAGGAAATTGCCCCTTTGGACTTTAAATTGTTGTTTTATGTTTTTCTGTATTTTACAGTTTTTAATAAAGATGTTTTGTGTTTTTATGTATTCTGTTCTAAATTGTGAAGTGAGAACAGAATATATCTCTAATGAAATTCGAGGAAATAATTTTAAATAAAGAATAAACATTTTGTTTAACTTCTGACAATGTCAAACATCGCTGTCTATTAGCACACATGGGAAGTGTGGGTCTGCAGGGTGCTTGTGTCCTTGAATGTTGTAAGCAGTCTTGGTAATTAAATGTGGGTCTGTTGGATTTGATAGAATGTGGGTCTATTTCATAGCAGCCTGCCTTAACCATCATTGCAAAAGCGCACTTATGCAATCATATTCAATATTTGAACACAGAGGCAGCATAACTCCTGCTCTAACATTTCATTTTCACAAAGAGTTTCCTCTTCTAAGTTTTCATGTTTGTTTATTCAGGGTCCTAATTTGTTTCATTTCTGATAGGCCTTGGGGAGTGCTACGCATCTCCTATGAGAGCATTTTTAATGCAATATGATGGGATGCAACTGTTTGGCACAATTGAGCACATGTTATGGTTGCAGTTACAAGCCCTGTGTTGATATGATGAAACATTGGGTGGATGCTTTGAGTCTCAAGTGCCCGATTTACGTATAAAGTAGACAAATTATAACTTAGGGACCCTCCAAAAATTAAAAGTATAGTATAAATAGTATTAAAATATATTTATAACAGATCTTTGTAATTTTAAAAATAATTAACAAGTGTGTTACAGAAGCCTTGTATTCCTTGAGTTATTGATTTTATTTTCAGTGTATGGATAATTTAGGAACATTAACAATTCTTGTTGTCTTTATGTCATAATGGAGTCGATAAATGTTATGAAAAAAACTCTGAGAAATAATTCAATGTAAGAATAGAAACTAAAGGGCTGAAAGTTTTAAATAGCTAAAATGAACTCACATAGTTAAAATAAATATATAAATTTATAAATTTCATCTTATATGTTTGTGGTTACTATATTATCTGCTATGAAAAATGATGAAAATATCTTAAAAAACTGTAAAATGCCTAAAGAATGCATAATGTATTTCTAAAAAAATTGAGTGAAATAACTTGGTAAAGTAAGTACAGTTAAAAAAAAAAAAATTATAAATCGGCGTTCAGTAATTAAATTTTTGGGGGGAATTTAAAAGAATACATAATTTATTAAATGAACAATTAATTAAAGTATATTATTTTCTGATATATTTTTAATTTCTTTATAGGTGTGGTAAGCCTAAAGACGGGGATATATCCTATCAGTTGCTTCTAGGCACCTCAGCATCCTCTGTTGAATCCGATGCTTTCTCCCCTTACGCATCTCAGAAAAATTCCACAGATCATCCACAAGAGGTAAGTTATTTACATTCTTAAATAAGGATTTTTTTTAAATGAGGATCTACTAATTTTTAACAAGTTAACACTTTTTATTCTGTTCTAAATGCTATTTGAAAAATTAAGAGTTAGTTTTAGAATCTTCTGTTTAACAGTTGAATTTGGTTCCGAGTGACTAAGCTAGTTAATTCTTGCATATAATGAATTGCTTTTGAAATGTTTTATATATATATATATATATATATATAGGCAGTAAAATCCCTTCCAAGAGAAATTAAGGAGATAATGATACTGAGTTGCTGAATCAGCAAACTGATTTTCTTCTTTCAAATAATTTTTTATTCATTGTTTCATTTCATTTTTTATATTGGAAATGCTGAACTATGAGCCTCGAGTCCATTAATGTGCCTCACAACATAAAATTGATAAGTGCATAAAAGGGCATCATCATCATCTGTTTACTAAAGTACTGAGTACATGTCTTTAAAATTACATTTGACATCAAATTAGAGTTAATGCAGTTTTTCATTAAAATTCAGATCATTGTGAAACTCTATAAAATCTGGTAAACAGAAATAAATAATGCTGCATTGGCTGTCATTTTATCAGAAGACCTTTTTTAATAGATCTCAAAACTTCAGAAAACATCAGCTGTATGTGATTATATTTGTTACTGCATTCTCAGTTGATATCAGACTTGCATTGAAATGTATATAATTTCAACTGAATGTGCAACATGAAAGAACTGAATTTAAATAAATCTCTTTGATTTGTATCTACTTAGAGCATTTTTTCTTGATATCTCTTTTTAGAGGAATGTTGCGTTACAAGCAATAACTTTTCAATTTTAAAGATGCAGAAAATAAAGAAAAAACAGAAGTTTCAGGCATGAATGTTTTCTTTTTAATCACTACCGCGTGTATTACCTCAAATAACAATAGTGTTCAAAACTTGAATCGATGTTCACATTAAAAATATTGTACATTTTTTCCCTTTCAACAAATATCTTTTAGATTAAAATTTAACTGCATTTTACTTGATGCCAGAGTGAAAGAGATTTTAATATGGTCCATAATAAAAGTGTATTTCTGTCTTCAGTGCAACATTTGTCACATGTGACTGGCTAAAGACCTTAGAAAGCTCAAAAATGTCGAATACCCCTGCCTTAAATGTTCACTGATCCTCGTTCTGCTGGACGTACTTCAATAAAATGCATGAATGAGTAAAAGTTTATGATTGGATAGAAAATTTTAAAGCTAGAACAAAAGTGGTATTGCTGAAAATTTAAAGAGATCAATGATAATCAAGCGGTCAATAGCCAAATATGCAGTGGATATTGATTGGCCTAATGACTCTTTTTGCCTCTCCGGTGTTCGGACTTCATTTGCAGTAACAGACCCAGTCCTGTAGGTGGTTAGTTAATTTAGTGAAAGTTTATTCTGAGATATTTACAGCAGCTGTGTTACTTTCGGGTGCACAAAAATGTCCTTTTACAGGACTCTGCATTCTGATGATAAAATTGGTGAAAGACCAGACTCTGATATATCGACTAATTCTAAAAAGAAATTCCCGGTACAAAAAGCTGACTTCTTAGCCTTGCCTGAAGATAAAAGAAGCAAAAAGAAAAAGAAATTGAACACCCCAGCTGAAAAAGAAAGAAAAAAAGGAGGAAAATTATGAACAGCAATGCAAGACTACGAAATTGGAACCACTGACTGGAAAACAAATTGAGGATTTACAAAAAACTTCAATTACAAAGAAGTTCTAACCTTAGTGAAACAATACAAGCCAGATTTGGACGTAGAAAAATTCAGGAAGAAATACGAGCCTAAGACGCCAGAACAGAAAGTTTTAGATGCTCAACGGGCTGCCCATGGAATGGTCAATACAAATAATGAAGCATGGAACAGTCAATACAAATAATGAAGGCATTTGCAACTGATTACACGAAACAGAAAACGGACGAAGAGCCCTGGATTACACCCAAGAAGACAGTTAAACCCACAACTTCCGAAGAAAAGATGGAAATTTCTCACGAGAATAGATTTGAAACTCTGAATCCAGACAAAAATGCCCAAACAGGAGGAGCTAGAGAAGAAGTGCCCCCACCAATTGAGAAGAAGAAGTGCCCCCACCTATTGTGTTTCAGCAGAGCGCAGTGGATTGGTCTCAAATTCATGAAATGAATGAGTGAACACTAACTTGAAAACAGTTGATGATTATAGGAAAGCTGCTGATGTTTTACAGATGAGAAACATACCTTTTCATACATTCCAAATGCTGAGTGAAAAACGAATAAAAGTCGTTCTGAAAAACTTACCATCGATGATGAAAGAAGAAGCTGTTTATGCAGATCTTGAAAGAAGAAATTTTCCTATGCAAAAAGTAAAGCAATTTACAAGATGTTACTTATATGTGGCAATACACTAGTTGCTTCTTGAACTGAAGTGAAGTAATTACCAGTTGATGTTGTATGGTAATAAATAGTGTGAATGTACTATGTGATCCTGTAATAATGTCACTTATTTATTGATCAAGTAATATTAACATGAATATAATATGGCGTAGTCGTGTGAAGTAGTAGTACGACTAATTGCCAGGCAATCCCTTTGGTTGTTTTTCCTCTCAGCTGATGCAAAATGGAATTTTGTCATCCACCGCAAGGCCTAAGTTTCGATGGCAATGTGGCCGAAAACTGGCGCAGATTCAAGCAGCTGTTCCAGATTTATATGAAAGCTTCAGGAAATGTTTCGAAAGATTCAGATGTGAAAGTTGCTTTATTTTTAAATGCTGCTAGTAAGGAAGCAGTTGAAGTGTTTAACACGCTCAATCTTTCAACAGGAGATCAGGGCAACTATGGAAAGTGCTTGAAAGGTTAGAAGCTTTCACGACGCCTAGAACAAATTTCGTAGTGGAGAGATTTTTATTCAATAAGAGAAAACAAGAAGAAGGGGAACATTTTGATTGTTTCGTGACTGATCTGAAAAAACTGGTAAAATCTTGCGAATTTGGTGAGCAGAGTGACTCTGTTGCACGTTACTGCACTGTCCCTGGAGTATCAGATACAGTAGAATTCCAGAAATCTGCAAAGCTTGGGACCAGAAGTTTTGCGGATTTCAGGACAGAAAAGATAAAGCATAATATTCGGACTAAAAGTGCAAAATGAATAAGGCGTATTAGATGCATTTAATTAAATTATTATATACATAATTGCAGTAATTTATTATATGTATTAAATTATTATTACTACATAAATTGATTATATTATTCATTGTATTATATGTACACAGCATTGAGGTTTGCCGATTTCTCCTCATGCAAAGATTTCTGGTTTCAGATTCCGGTGTTTGAATCACTGTTGCTGTAAAATTTCAACAGCTTTTCTTTATTTTTCCATATATCATACAAAATTGTGTCGCAATTCCATACCATTCTGCTGTAAATCAAAGAGTAGCACATGCTTCCATCTTTTGCAGAATTTGCACTTTTTGCGTTACCGTCAGTGCAACATGTTTAAGGTTTCGTTAATTTGGACACCCATAATCCGGAATGATCCATAATCCGGACCTCAAAGCTACAAACTTTCTACGCATGCGTAGCGTTTACGCATGCGTGTAAGACCTTTACGGCTGCGAATATGCATGTGCGCGTGCTCAAAACACGTTTACGCATGCGCGTTTAATGTATAACGGACGGTATAAGCTAAGCTAAAATTATCTAATTCAGTTAATGTTGCAGATTGCGTTGTTCCTTAATCTTCGAATTGGATCCGGCTTATTATTTTTTGCAGACTGTTAGCAATTTCATAAAAGTAAGCTTGAACTTTCAATTATGTCAAATAGAATTTCCAATATATATTTACTACTATGTAAAGGATCTACCAAAGCGAAGGTATGTTTCGAAGTCCATTAAACAAAAGTGGATTTGCTGAAAAATTGACCTAACCATTCCGAAATCTGTTTATCAATTTCACACTGCTCTGCGGTGGGGGATGGGGGGGACGGCGCGCAATGAATTGGAAGTTGATCTGTCAGCACTATCCTTATCTTCAGGGCAGATGTTTTCATTTTATTTGGCTTATAATTCCTTACTAAATGTAGTATTTCATCTCGATGCATTCCGTCTTTGATATGATTTAAATCAAATTCCTCGTCATTATAATTTGCTTCTGATAGTGAAGAAAGTGACAGAGAGGTTATTGAAAACGAAAAAATTTCGATTGACAAGTTAGTCGGTATTCTGACGCAGCAATTACAAGATTTGAACAGTGGAAGTTTGTAACTGAACAAGAAATTATGTCTGTTTAATAGAATTAAAGAGAAAGTATTATTACGTAAAACGAAGCAAACAACTTACATCAAAAGAAATGTTTAATAAAGTAAACAAATAAATATTAAGCTTTTTTTTTTGTAAATTTTTATACCCTTTAGATCATAATTGTTCTTTATTTCATAAATTACGGTTTCATATTTTTAATTTATAATTTCTGCATGCCATCTTACCAGATTTAAACTGATGATCTATAATCCGGAAAAATCGATAATCCGGAAACGCCGAAGTCCCAACGAGTCGGATTAACGACTTTTGACTGTATTAAAAAGGGCTGAAATTAAAAATATTCTTAATTTATCCACAAAATATCCGGATGAAAAAAAGGCAGCACTAAACAATCTCGTGAAATGAAATAACAAAGCTCAGAAAATACAACATGAATCATGAACTTGAACAAAGAGTTGAGTGAATCGTCTGCATTTTTACCTTGATGCAGATTAAAGGGAAAAAAAACTTATTTATTTAATCTTATTTTTCTTTACTTTTTATATCAATAATTTGGTATTTCTGTTTTGACTCATTATTATTCAGTAATTATGATGTTATTTTTCAATAAGTACTTTTTTCTTCGATATTTCGTACTCAATGTTGTGGTTTCAGGAACCTATAAACTGAATGTGTATATTCTGAGAGGCAACGCAGATTTCAGGAGTTGGCAGATTTTCGGTATTTGACTGTACCAGTTT